AGAGAGAGAGAGAGAGAGAGAGAGAGAGAGAGAGAGAGAGAGAGAGAAGCCCCATGCACGGGGCTGGAAGACCGGGGTTCTAGTCCCATTCATTCTCGTCCGTTCATTCCACAGACACTACTGAGCACCTTCAGGAGGCCGGGCCCTGTGTTAGGGCTGCTGCTTGTCACTGGATGTGGAGTAATGCATCTACTGGGGAAGGGACCCTCATTTGTGGGCCACCTACCTCGTACTAGATGCTCTCTCGTTGCTCATACGTGCAGGACCTGAGCCCTCATACACCCCAATGTGTGCAACGGGTGCTGCTACTGTCCCCAGTCTACAGACAGGGTGCAGAGAGGTTATGTAAGTGGCCCAAGGTCACACAGCCTGCGATGCTGGCACTCAGGATCCTGGGTCTGTCTGATCCTGAGCTCACTCTTTGACCCCCTCCCTGCTGCCTAAACCTGAAAGTCCACGTCTGTGATCTCCTAGCTTTGCCTGTTCTTTGGAACAGAAATCTTACATCGTCAGAGCCGGGAACGTGGACAGCGTCTTGTCTACTCCCTTTCACTTTAAGCAGGAGAAAGTGACGTTCTGAGAGGGGCAGGGAGTGGCCAGAGGCCCCAGAGAATGGTGTCAGGGAAGGTTGGGAATACTGAAGTTGCCCTTCGTCGAGTCAGGTGGCCCACAGCTAAGGCCAATCTGGACCCAGCCGGAGCCTGGCCTGGAATCAGGTCTGGACCCAGTAGCAAGCTTGTTCTGCGAGGAGGCGGGAGCGACCCCCTCCTGCGCCTCGCCTTGTGTGCTGAGCTCTCCTCTGGGGCCCCACAGGAAAGCCGGCTTTCCCTGCCTGCCCACAGCAGCATTTTTGAGATTGGTGGCAGCTTGCCCCTCTCCCCACAGCCTCTCTCCAGCCTGGGCAGCCCATGGACCACACCTGTCCCATCACCCCAGGCCTTGCAAACCCCCAGCAGTGAATTCTCAGCCGTCACCCCAGAAGGAGACTGAAGAAGACCTACCACATGCAGAGCACCCCACTAGGGGCACCCATCCACTTCACCTCCTGCGGTCCTCATGAGGTGGGTGCTTGTGGAGGGTTAGATATCTTGATTCTCATTTGATTTTTAGAGTAGGGCTTTTTAAGTAAACACATACATGTATGGGACCAAAGTCCTCGGTTTAGGAGACAACAGTCTACACACAGCGTGGCAACAGCCCATCTAATCAACTCTCATCACTGCTTAGGTGTGGGATTGTATACTTTAATGATTTTAGAGATAACAGGTGGTTGTCATACCAATCCTGTTAAGAGATTTTAAGAATTGCTGAAGGGAAAGATGTGAAAAAATGTTTGCTAGGGGCAAGCTGTCTGTTGGTGGAAACTTTAGAGATAATTATACTTAGATTTAATTGTAAGAATGTAACTTTGCTGAAATCATTTGAGGAGAGGTTATATTTTAGATAATGACTGCAGTCTGACCAACTTAGCTTTTCACAAATTGTACTTTGGAATGTCACATTGTTCATTTTACTGATGTTACCTGTTTCCATTGTTTAAGCTCTACTTAGCCATAGATAACTTTCGTCACACTACCCATGTCTTTGTGTCCTTTTGAAATGATTGAATTAACTGATTTCTCTTGTGAAACTTCCTTGTCTTGACAATAAAAAACAGAAGCTAACTTTGAATCAGGGCTGTACCCAGTTTTCTCCTCCTAACAGAGGAGTTGCTGAGGTGCAGTCCCTTCGGGCTTCTCATCGCATTCACGGTGCTTTGAGTAATCCTTTCTTTCATCTCCGTTACACAGTGGGAAGTATAACAGGTGCTGTCATCCCCTTCCCTTCTGCTTGAGAATGTGACCTTTGATTACTTTCTAGTTCATGTCCCTGGAAACCTGATAAAGGTAGACTGGCTGCTGTGTTACCAGGCAAGCTTGCTAAGGGGAACTTCCTGGTGAACTGCAACTGGATTGGAAGAAACATAAATACTGACAGGGACCCTGCACTTTGGGTTTTCCTGAGTGCAATGACTCTTATTACTGGGCATGTCCTTTGCAGGGACCCTGGAATCTAGGCCTATGGATTTGTTACAGGAGATCCTGGCTGCTGTGGGGCCAGAGGCTTCTAAGGTAGGGCAGCCCCGACACCTGTCCTTGGGGGGCTAGTGGAGAGAGCTCCTGGTGGGCGAATGGACAGCTCGAGGAGTGTCCACGGCACAGCAGCACCTGCTGGCACACTGTGGGTTCTGTCCATGTCCTTCTGAGCAGCCCGATGCCAAGTGCGGCCTACACTGGTCTGATGAGTATGAATGTTTAGGAGCAGGTAAGAAGATAACCATGGACGTTGCACAAAGACTGAGCTCTGAGAGGTGAAGTGACTTATTCCAGGCCACCCAGGTGGCCAGACTCCCAGCCTTGCCCTCTTTCCCTGAGCTCACTGGCTCCAGGGGCCTACCTCGGGCCGCACAGGGTCTTCGATGCCCACCACGCAGATGCAGGTGAGGTCATTGAGGATGTCATTCTCATTGTCCCAGTCGGGCTCTGGGCTGCTGGGGAAGTCGCGGTAGGCCACACAGATGGTGCGGAGCCCGTCGCAGGCCATGGGCTCAATCACTTTCTTCACCATTTCATCCCGGTCGCGGGGTCGGAAGACCCGGGGCTCACCTGCCCCACTGAGGATTTTGCAACACCTGGGGGAGGACAGGAGGGAGATGAATAAGTTTCAGCTAAGGGCCCAAGGAGTCCTTTCTCTGACAGGCTTGGGGCTCACCTCCCCCTCCCTGGCAATGCCTAACTGGCTGTGACTGGTCATCCAGTGCCCATCCCCTGGGCCCAGGCAGCCTTCCTGCCATATCTGCCCCAGGTCACTTGCAAGAGCAGTGATCTGTTAGATATTCATAAGATCTCATCTGAAAAACCAGCCTCTGGCTGAAATGGATGGCAAAGGACATACAACCTGGGCCAGTGGTTCTAGACCTCGCTGATGTGTTAGAATGGCTTAATAAGTGCTCATGCATGACCCTAACCCAGAGGCTCCAATTTAGTTTGTCTAGGGTGAATCCAGGAAACAACGGTTTTTATTTATTTATTCATTTATTTATTTTTGGCTGCTGGCTGGTAAGGTCATCCAAGTACTTGACCTTCAATGGTTTTTAGAAAGCTCTCCAGAGTGATTCTAATGCATAGCCAGGGTTGAGAACCACTGAGCTAGACCAATCCCCTCAATGTACAAATGGGGAAACTGAGGCCCAGAGAGGGGAAGTGACTTGCTCAGTTCTCCAGGCTTATGTCTGGCACCTGGAGTCAAAGGAGTCTGGCTAATAATGAAGGCAACCAACCCTATGCTAAGAGAAGTGAAATCAGAGAGATCTATGTGTGATAATCGGTACAACTTCCTGATGACCCTGGACTTAGGGAGGAGGAGGGGGAGGACTTTCTGCCTGTAGACGTTTTTGAGAGGATGTAGCGGAAAAGTGGTGGGCAAGGGGCTCTGGAGACGAGCCTTGTGGTGTGACCTTGGCAGCGCCCTTTCTGTGCCCCTCTCTGGGTGCTGGATGGCCCCTCCAGCCCACACACGCTGCTAGGCCCAGCCTGGACGACGGCTGGTGCTGTGTGACCCAGACGTCCCCAGCTGCTGCGCCAGGGCACAGCCCTCAGCCCAGCATCCTGGCCGCCCACCGCTTACTTCTTCAGCACGATCTCAGAGGCACCCTTGCTGTACATGCGGAAGCTCTCGTCGGGCAGCCTGATGACGGTGCTCATGGACTTGCGCACGGAGTTGAAGGTGTACACTTTGTAGAGCTTCTCCTCTGGCATCTGGCCGCGTGCGGGCTCGTAGTCCTGCTTCAGGTCCAGCACGAAGCCCAGCAGGCCGCACTCCGTCTTGTTGCCCACCTGCCGAGGCAGGGCACCTTCCTGCTCCGGGGGCTGTGCAGAGAGGCACGGGTGGCTTGCACTGGCAGGGCCCACCCTGGAGGAGTCCCCACCCCAGCTGCCCCCGTTGCCCACCCCCTACACACTCAGGCCCCTGCATTCCAGGTCGACTCCTGGCTGTGGATGGAAGGAGTTAAGCAAGCTCAGCTTTTTAAAAATTATGAATTATTTCAAATATTAAAAAAAAGAGAGAATGATATAAGAAACAGTTGTGTACCTACCACCGAGCTTTGTAGAATCTTAACATTATGCCATATTTGCTTCAGATTTCTTTTTTAATAAGTAAAACATTACAGATAAAGCTGAATCCCCTCTGTGTACTCTTCCTATCTGCATTATTCACCCCTCGTCCCAGAAACAACCTCTACCTTAAATTTGGCATTAATCATTGTCACGTGTGTTTTAACTCTTTATTGTGGGGTAATTGCAGATTCACATGCAACAAGAAGTGCTACAGAGAGCTGCTGTGTACCCTTCCTCTGGTTTCCCCCAGTGTTGACCTCCTGTGTAACCCCAGTGCAACAGCACCACCAGGATGCCGACACTGACACAAATCGACAGTATTCAGATTGCACCAGCTTTACATGCACTCGCGTGTGTGCGTGCACATGCCCATGTGTATTCAGTTCTTGGCAATGGCATCACGTGTGGATTCCTCTGACTACCACCACCATCCAGCCGCAGGACAGTTCATCACAAGGGTCCCTGTGCTAAGGGTTGCACAGTCACCTCCCTCCCTCCCCTTTCCTGGCTCTGGCCACCACTCAGGTCTCCACCTCCATGCTTTTGCTATTTCAAGCATGCTGCAGAAATGGACTCACATGGTATGTGACTTTTGGAGACTGGCTTTTTTGCTCAGCCTAATCCGGTTGGGATCCAGCAAGCCCTGGCCACCACTCAGGTCTCCACCTCCATGCTTTTGCTATTTCAAGCATGCTGCAGAAATGGACTCACACGGTATGTGACTTTTGGAGACTGGCTTTTTTGCTCAGCCTAATCCGGTTGGGATCCAGCAAGCTGTGGTGTGTGCCAAGAACTTGTTTCTTTGCACTGATGAGTGTATTTCATGGTTTGGGTGAACCATCCCCTTGTGATTCTGATTTAGGTTGAACCAAATAAAACTGGTATTTCTGTTGTAAAATATGGTCAAAGATTGGCAATTTCATGCAATTTAACCTACTCTATGTCCGTCTGTACGTGCAGTGCTGTTTTGTGTGTGGGACACTTCGTATCAGGAGATTGTGCACATTCTTCTGGAACGTGCTGGATTGCTTAACTTTCCACTTTTGAGAGTCACTCTTGTTTATGGCTCTAGTTAGCTGCTCTGTACCTGCACTGTGGACTCCACTAGACGGATGAGCTGCACTGACTCCTCCTCGTCCCGCGTCTCCTTGTCTCCACTCACTCACTTACTCGTCACCCTCCAGTGCCGCTGCTGAGTGCGGCCCTCTGCCAGCTGCAGCCGTAGGAACACCACCAGCTCCTGCCCCAGAGACTCAGAAAGACACCGGCCACATCTCCCCAGCACCTCTCGCTTCCTCTGGTGGCTGCACCGACACGAGCCACTTCGTGCCTCTGCCTTTGCCTTCGCTGCCCCCCCTGCCAGGCAAACTCCTCCTTGTCCTTCAAGGAGCAGCTCAAATATCTCCTTGTCTTTGAGTATTGCCTCATGGGTCTGTCTGCCCCCCGAGTAAAAGAGGCGTGGCATTCTTTATCTGGGTTCTTAGGGCCAGCACAGAACCCAGCACACAGTAGGTGCTTACTAAGTGTTTGACCAGTCTAGTGGGGGAGACGCAGGCTAACAGGTGAGTACAAGATGCCTCCAGGTGGGCACTGATGGTGGGACTAGCAGGCGGCTGTGAGACGTGCCCATCCGCAGGAACGCTCGCCTCCCACGTGCGCCCACACCCCTGCCCGCGCCCACACCCCTGCCCACGCCCGCTCATACCACGCAAAGTTAATACGCGGTGACTCAGGTGGAGGTGGCTTCGGGCGTGGCAAAAGCCTAGAGAGATTTTGAAGATGAATATGAAGGGTACTTTAAAAAGTTCATTGAAAGATTCATAATATCTTTTAATTCTATTCTTCCACAAACTTTTCGAAGTACCCTCGTAAATACCTACGAGTGTGCCTTTGTCCCCCCCGTCACCCGCCCCAATGGCTTTCCATGGGTCTCAGACCAGCCTTACACAAGGATCCCCCTGGATCCTCGTCCTCAGCCTCTTTCATATTGCTCAAAAGATCAGTGATGTGAAAATCTCTTCCAGGCAGGAAGGAGGCTGATTCAAGAAGATGCCAGCGTGGACCAGCTGTGCAGGGAGAGGGTGGACCCTCCATCAGCAAATGGATATGTCCCCAGCCTATCCCCCCTTCTGCAATTAGGGCTTGGGCCCAGGGAGCAGACCTGAGCCACAGGGGGACACAGGCATTGATATGAGGTGGTCCTAGACCCAGGGATGCAAAGGAAGAAAGAGGCTTAGATCCTAAGCCATGTCCTCAGTTTCCCCATCTGTAAAATGGAGAGGCAGGAGCAGATGATTCTAACTGAGAGAAAAATCAACCTTTTAAAAAAAGTGGACCGTGGTAAGGGATGTTGGAGAGAGGAAGAGGTGCAGGTCCCTCAGCAGGGGCCCGGGGGCGGTGGACAGGGAATAAGGCTCAGAACACCTCCCAGCTCTCACGGCCACACAGACCTATGTCTCAGCACCACGTGCCTCTGGAAGGCTCCGCACTCCCAAGCTCTTTGATGAGACTTCATTTGGAAGCAGAGAAATCTTTGATACAGCTTTCCATTTCTGACGTTTGAGAAAACAAATTCTAAGAGCTTCCCTTTGTCTCTGTAGTATGCTATGCTGTGCTTTAAAAAAATAAAATATATATATATATATTACAACTTTATAATTAACATTCTGGTGATTTCCAGAGTTATATGATTTTTTTCACAACAGTTTTTCCCCCTCCACTAATGAGAGAAAATGACAACATGGAGGACTTAAATAAAAATGTCTAGTTATTTGCCCAAGAGAGCTGAGCAGTTATGCCTGCAAAACACCCGGCATTTTATTACCCTCTGTGAAATATTTTAATCTTCCTCTCAAAGGATTTCAAACAATCCATGGTTGCAAATGGCAGAGCAGCCTCCTCCATAATTCAATTTGTTTCCATGAACTTGAGCTCTGAAATTGCCTACACGTGTTACTAAGAAGCAGGGACCCTCCCCTTTTCTCTCCTGGCTTTTTCAATCCTGGCAAACCCGGAGGTTTTGCTCTTGCTGTAGAAATTTCTAGAGCCTTCTTATCTCCAGGGCTCCAACTCTGTAAAGGAGTTAAGGCATTGGTATTGTTCCCATTTTGAGGGACAGACACAGGCCCGGGGGCAGGGTGTTGAGTGACTTGCTGCTAGTCACAGACCTGTGGAGAGTCAGGCCTGGGGTTGCCCCATGCCTTCTGGTTTTGGTTCACAGCTTCATCCAGCACATTTCTTAGCACTGGTGTTGAGCCCTGCTGTGGTTGGAATACGTCCCCCCAAAGTTTATATGTTAGAAACTTACTCCCCAGTGCAACACTGTTGGGAGGTGGGATCTAGTACAAGGTGATCAGATTAGATGGGTTAATATGGATTGATATCGTGGGGGCAAGTTGGTTATCGTGAGAGTAGGTTGTTAGAAAGCAAATCCAGCCTCGGATGCCCTTCTCTTTCACACGTGCTTGCCGGTCCTTCTGCCATGTTACAATGCACAAGGAGGTCCTCACCAGAGGCTGGCACCATGCTCTTGGGCTTCCCGGCCTCCAGAACCATGAGCCAAATAAATCTCTTTTCTTTATAAATTTTCTAGCCTGTGGTATTTTATTATAGCAGCAGAAAATGGACTGAGACAAGCCCTTTGGAAACACGGAGTGCAGCTTAACTTTGAGAGGAGAGTTTGTGCTTCTGTTTTGGGTTGCTGGGGAGTGAATGGAGAGCTAAGATCAATGAGAATGATGACTTGAAGAGCTACAAGTTATAAATAACATCTGCAAAAATGAGATTAAAGAAATCATAGCACGTATCACCTCACACCCATTAGGACAGCTACTATAAAAAAAAGCAGAAAATAACAAGCGTTGGCAAGGGTGTGGAGACATGGAAATGCTTGCTTGCTCATTGTTGTGGGATATAAAATGGTGCAGCTGCTACAGAAAACAGTATGGTGGCTCCTCAAAAAATTTAACATAGAATTACCATATGATCCAGCATGTCCAATTCTGGGTGTATAACCCAAATAATTGAAAACAGGGACTCAAAGAGATATTTGTGTGCCCATGTTCATGGCAGCATTATTCACAACAGCCAAAAGGTGGAAACAACCCAAGTATCCATCAATGAATGAATGGATGAACAAGATATGGTCTATCCAGACAGTGGAGTATTATTCAGTCCTAAAAATGGGAGGAAACGCTGACACATGCTCCCACATGGATGGACCTTGAGGACACTATGCTAAGCGAAACAAGCCAGTCACAGAAGGACAAACACTGTATAATTCTACTTATATGAGGTACCTAGAGTAGTCAAATTCAAACAGACAGAAAACAGAATGGTGGTTGCCAGGGGCTGGAGGGAGGGGAAATGGGGAGCTATTGTTTGAGTGCAGAGTTTCAGTTTTGGAAAAAGAAGAATTCTATGGTTGGGTGGCGGCGATGGTAGCACAACCATATGAATGTACTTAAAGCTACTGAACTGTCCACTTAAAAATGGTTAACATGGCAAATTTTATGCATATGTATTTCACCCACAATTAAAACAGTTTTAAAAGCTTAAAAAACAAACAAACACCAAACCAAACAAAAAAACCCCTACGGTAACAAGCCCTGTCTCGTGGTAAACTGCAGTAACTACAACATGATGATTTTTTTCTGAAGGACTCAGAAAAAGACTTTATGCTTACTGGCTGTCTCTAGTGACCTAGCCACATCCTTTCAGGACAGGCATGTGCAGTGAGGCCCCGACAGATG